ATAAATGAGTTCGTGTGGCCAGTGTAAGTGACTCAGGTACTTGAGGGACTGAAAACTGTATACAACACCTAGTTAGTGAAGGGGTAATTTCCCCCAATGCTTCTCCTTTGAACAGCTTGTTCTTAAACCAGAATAGAATGGATCACAGCTGACTGTGAAGTCCTGTAAACTTGAGGCTGTGGTCATACCAAACAGACCTCTATTCCCAGTCCCCAACATTATGGAAATTACTGACACCATCCACTCAGCAACTGGTAAATATCCTGCTGTCCCTGACACTAAGTCTGCTCTGCTCAGTGTCTATTTTAACAGGCTATCAGCTGCACTCGTTCTTCACCTCTGAAGGGAGATGATACACCTTGACTTGGTTATCCTCCTGGAACTTCAGCAGCTTTGCCCCCACTCCCACCCCCAATCATTGCAGGCAAGGTCTTAACTGCATGTGGTTTCTCCAAGAACACAGGCACATTACACGGAATGTGTCCTCTGAGGACATATAGGACACGCAAATATTGAAAAAAGGAGCTGGCAAAAGTGGAAGGACGATGAGGCCCTGTCAACTTTGTTACAACTTTGGATATTATTTGATAATTTGAGACTCACTTCATCCCTGACTAGAAGAAATAGCTGTTGTCCCCATCAGCATGTACAAAACCTACTGGTTTCTTTGTTGTTGTTCCAATTTGTTTACAAATTTTGCTTGAACCCATTAATGCTGTTACTTGCAAATTAGCTCACCTCGAATGGGCACTCCTATAGCAAAGGCTGAAGACTCTCTTCAAGTTGCCACACAACTGGGATTTTTGTTGGTGACCTCAGAGAATTCTTTACTACAGAGGCTTCAGTGGCCTCCTTCCTCTCTTGCCACCTGGTCTTACCAATCATGGCCTTAAGGTGTCCATAGGCTTTGATATAAGAACCTGCCCTAGGCCCCACACTACATTAGAGCTGCAATTCCCTCTATTTACAAAGCCATCCTGAAAGTAGAGAGCCCTGAGCATGTGACCACCTAGCCAGCAATCCCTTTTGACTTGAGACCTGGAAACAGCAACCCAGAGGCTCATTACAGCTACCAAGATCCCCTGAGACATGATGGAGCTAAACCTGGGTCCTCTGGGCTAGCGTACCTGTAGGAGAGGGTTGTCTTCTCATTTCTCAGTCTCTTGTGAGATGCAATGGAGCTGCATGAATGAGGCCCCCCAGTTCCCAGACCCCCTAGGCTTTCTGAGGAGCTTCTTAGGATTTTGAATGAAAAGCAGTGGGCGTTCATAGACTTTTAAAGACAACAGCACCTCATTTGTATATGATGGAGTTCAGGCAGAGATGCTGCTTTTCACGTCTTAATGGGAATGTCTCTGATAATGGAACGGACCCGAGAATCATCATAACTCATCACATACAAAGCAGATATCGTAGCACCAACCAATGAGTGGCACCATCTTCACATGTCTTTGATCACCTGATATGTTAGCCCATGGAAGACACTTTTTCTTTTTCTTGGTCTGTTTTTCTCACTACTGTACTGCCTGCAATACTATAGCTTTAAAATATTTTGTGTATGTTAGGTAGACTACCGATATGTTCCTTTTTTTTTTAGAGAGAGAGAGAAAAAGGCACGTAGAAAGAGAAACATGGATATGTTGTTCCAATTATTTTCACATTCATTGGTTTATTCTTGTATGTGCCCTGACTAGGGATTGAACCCACAACTTTGACGTATCAGAATGATGCTCTAGTCAGCTGAGCTACCAGCCAGGGCCCACTTTGTTCTTTAGAAGACTCTGTCCACATTGAACATTTGTTCCTCTATTAGTTTTGAAGGTTAGCTTTGTTGACTCAGAAGGAGTCTGGTTTGGGGATTTATGAGTTTTGATATAGGTATTATTTGGGAAAGATGACATCTGAGCGACACATTTCTTTTCACTTATTTCCTTCTACTTTGACATCGCCCAATAATTTTAACTTTCCCATGAGGGTCATTAAATATCCTGTCTTAGTATTATTTAATACTGAATGAAATTTGATTTGGAGGAAGCCAGGAGCAAGCTTCCAAATGTTGTCTCTGAGTTAACCACATAGGATGGGCTCAGTTCTCCAAGCAAGAAGTGAGAACAGGTGTCAATTATTGTCTACTATGGAAGCTCAGCAGAGACTCAATAAGCTCAGCAGAGTTTTGGGGGTGCTGATCACATGGGCATGGTCTGCTGAACATGTAACAAAATTACAGCATCTAAGAAGGAAAACATGAGCTTGCTATATACCATATTGTATGCATAAATGCTTTAGGCAAACTGAGGTACTTCTATATGTTAGGTTGATGGGTTCATTCCCAAATCCCGTACCCAGATACCAGCGAAAAGTGAACTTTGTGAGCAAGCCTTTCTAAGGATAAGCACGGGCCTGCTAATGTGCACGCTTATTTACACACAAGGTACTTTGTTATGCACTTTGTTGTGGACAAGCACTTTAGATCCTCTATAGAAAAAATCACTGGGGCTACCCTGGTCGGTTTGGTTCAGCGGTTAGAGTGTCGGCCCACGGTCCAGAGAGACCTGGGTTCGGTTTCCGCTAAGGGCACGTATCTCGGTTGCAGTTTGTCCCCGGCCCCAGTTGGGGTTGTGCAGGAGGCAGCCACTCGATGTGTCCCTTTTACGTCAATGTTTCTCTCTCTCCCTCTCTTCCTCTCTCTCCCTCCCACTCTATCTGAACAAAAATAGAAAAATGGCCTCGGGTGAGGATAAAAAAAAAAAAAATCATTATGGCTGAACCAGACAGCTTATCTTACTCTCCCTGGATCAAAGACAAGAGAGGTTTTCCTACTTTGTTGTTGCTCTGCTGAATAGATCAACGTTTTTCCTTTTTTTGTGGGTTGTTTTTTTTTTTTTTTTTTTTAATCCGAATTGGTGAGTAGGAGCCTTTTCTCTGTTCCCTACACAGAGACATCAATGGGTTCTTGATCTCTTTCTGGAACCAGCATTTAGGGGACTTATGCTGTTGAGGAAGACCTGTGCCTGGGAGAGACTGACCTGCTGCTGTAACTCACATGGGAGCTCAGAACTGAGACAAGCTGGGAGAAGAGCCTCTAGAGTGGCATCAAGTTTTTAGAGAAAATCACTGTAGAAGTCTTTATGTGTTTTCTTTTTAATTGAAAAAAAAATTTTAATTTATTGAGATGACATTCGTTAATAAAATTATATGGGTTTCAAGTGTACAATTCTAAAATACATCATCTATATATTGTATTGTGTGTTCACCACCCAAAGTCTCCTTCCATCGCCATTTATCCTCCCTTTACCCTCTTGTTCCTCCTCACCCCCCCTCCTTTTCCCTCTGGTAATCACCATACTGTTGTCTGAGTCTATGAATTTGTTTGTTTTTGTTTGTTTTGCTTAATCCCGTCCCCTTTTTGACCCAGTCCCACATTCCCCTCCCCTCTGACAGCTCTGTCTGTTTTCTGTCTCTATGAGTCTGTTTCTACTTTGTTAGTTTATTTTGTTCATTAGATTCCACATATAAGTGAAATCATATGGTACTTGTCTTTCTCTGACTGGCTTATTTCACTTAGCATTATACTCTCCAGGTCCAAATCTTGGCTATAGTAAATAATGCTACAATGAACATAGAGGTGCATTTACGCTTTTGAATTAGTGTTTTGGATTTCTTCTGATATATTTCCACAAGTGGAATTGCTGGGCCATGGGGTAGTTCCATTTTTAATTTTTGAGGAAACCCCATACTGACACTTCTCATTTGTGGATTTATTAATAATAGCCATTCTGCCAGGTATGAGGTGATTTTTCAAAATGGTTTTAATTCGCATTTCTCTGATGACTAGTACATAGAGCATCTTTTCATATGTCTATTGGTCATCTGTATGTCCTCTTTGGAGAAGTATCTATCCAGATCATTTACCCATTTTTTTTTTTATATTATTATTGATTTTAGAGAAAGGGGAAGGGAGAGGGGGAGAGAGAGAAACATCGATGAGAGAGAACATCGATTGGCTGCCTCCTGCACACCCCTCACTGGGGATCGGGCCCACAACCTGGGCATGTGCCCTGACCAGGAATTGAACTAGAGACATTTTGGTACATGGGTTGAAGCTCAACCACTGAACCACACTGGCCAGGCCAACATGCCAAGTCTTAAATTGTTCCTTAAGGTCGAGGCCTAAGTTACAGAGTTAACAATTCTGCCTGAAAGACTTCTTTTTGTCTTAACATTTCAATATATGTGTCTGTGTGTCCTAAAAATTGGCATGAAGGAGCCATGAGGCTTGTGAGTATAGGACTTTTGTAGAGGTCTAAGTTATCCTGCCTTCTTCACACCTGATCTCTAACTCTAATAACTTCCTAGCTCCATGAAATAGGACAGACAAAAGACGATCAAACTGCATCAGTCATAAATATTACATAAACAAAGTATATTTCATTCTCCTTCACAGGAATATTTTCATTCAGCCAGGTGGATCTGACTACATGTAATAATCTGGAGTACTTCAGGACAATATGGCCAGCTGCATTTTGTTACAAGTTGATTTCCACAGAGCTCCCGGCTTCTCGTGTTTAGTGATAAGAACAGAAGAAAAAGCATCCAGGTCTTTATTTTATGCATAGTCATTAAAACTTTATGCAGATATGACAGTGTGCTTCATGGAGTGCTGCATCTTTTGATTATTTTAAAGGAGATGAGTTTTCTCACATGGAATTGATGTACTTAAAATACAAACATTTTTTATTTGCATAGAGTTTTTACAAAGTGCTCTGTACCCTGACATTAGAGAGCAATGAAGGCTTGACATGATAACAATAAAAACATAGCAATAAATTCCTTGTGTTCATGAGGAAGTGAGTGTGGCCAATAAATAATAGTTCAACAACCAAGTCATAGAATGAATGTTGGGGACCATGTGTCCTGTGTGAACTTGTTATGAATTATGTAGAGATCCCAGTGCTGTCTGTCTCACCCAGCCTCCTGCATCCACATGTGGGATGTTGCAGGACTCCGTGGCCTTGGAGGATGTTAATGTGGAGTTCACCATGGAGGAGTGGGCTTTCCTGGATCCAACCCAGAAGAAACTCTACAGAGAGGTGATGCAGGAAACCTTCTGGAACCTGGCATCAATAGGTAGTAATGACAACTTCTTACTCATTCATTTAGTCCATTAGAAACCGTGTGCTGCTTGCTCATCAGTGCTGTTTCAAGAACTGAAATGTGGGAAGGGAAACATTGATAATTAAACTGGGCATGATCACAGCTCATCATGGACCTGAAAAATAACCATTTTCTATATTATTTAATACTTTATGATGCTCTTTTCTAGCATGTATTTTAGAAGACAAATGGGAAGACCATGACAGTGAAGATCAGTATGAAAACCATGGGACGAATCTTAGGTGAGTCATGCTGACATGAGAAAGCAGTGTCCCACAAGAGAATCTTAATGTCATCAAATTTAAAACACAGGCAAACCAATCATATCAGTCTAGCTTCAACTGTATTGATTCTTAGGATAACCTCATCAAAGTATTTTTCTTTAATGTGACCTAGATGTTTAGTGTATAAAAATGAGTACACTTGGAAACAGTATACAGAAACTCCATTAATGATTATTACTGTTTCATAATATGTAATATCGAGCCCCATCTCAGAGCTTTTAAGATATCCACTTTCAAACAATCAGAATGTACAGAAACCCCACACTTTCCTTGAAAATGGTGAAAATGTCATTGTTGTACTGTTAATAAATATTAAATCATTAATAAAGTATTAATAATTTGCTTCTGATTTTTACAGCAATCATATGGTAGAGAGACTCTGTAAAAGGAAGGATGCTAGTCAATGTAGAGAAATCTTCAACCAGATTCCAAATCATAATGAAAATAAATCTCCTACTGAAATAAAACAACCTACATCCAAGTTGTGTAGACAAGTCTTCATGCACTATTTATCCTTTAATAACCACATGAGCTCTCACACTGGACCCCAACCAGACCAGTGTCAGGAATATGAAGAGAAGCCTAATAAATCTAAGGAATGTGGGGAAACTTCCAAGCAATACCAATATGCTCAAATACATGGAAGGAAACAGAGTGGAGAAAAGCCCTATGAATGTGCAGAGTGTGGTAAAGCTTTCAGCTATTTAAGTTACTTATGTAGACATGCAAGAACTCATAGTCGAGAGAAACCCTATGAATGTAAGAAATGTGGGAAAGCCTTGAGTTCCCTCACCATATTTCAAAGACACGTGATCAAGCACACTAGAGATGGACCTTTTAAATGTAAGGAGTGTGGAAAAGATTTCAGTTGTTCAAAAACCTTTCGACGTCATGAAACAATACACAGTGGAGAAAAGCCTTATGGATGTGAGGAATGTGGTAAAGCCTTCAGTTGCCTCAGATATCTTGGAAAACATAAAAGAACTCATGATGGAAAGAAGCCTCATGAATGTAAGAAATGTGGGAAAGCTTTCCGTTATCCCTTTTCCCTCAGAAATCATGAAAGATCTCATACCGGGGAGAAACCCTATGAATGTAAGCAATGTGGGAAAGCCTATAGTTGTCCCAGATATGTTCAAATTCACAAAAACACTCATAGTGGAGCAAAGCCATTCCATTGTAAACAATGTGGCAAAGCTTTCAGTTGTCCCAAGTCCTCTCGAATACATGAAAGAACACACAGTGGAGAAAAGCCCTACGAATGTGAGGAATGTGGTAAAGCCTTCAGTTGCCTCAGATATCTTGGAAAACATAAAAGAACTCATGATGGGAAAAGGCCTCATGAATGTAAGGAATGTGGTAGAGCTTTCCGTCATACCTCTTCCCTTAAAAATCATGAAAGATCTCATACCGGGGAGAAACCCTATGAATGTAAGCAATGTGGGAAAGCCTATAGTTGTCTTAGATACTTTCAAATTCACAAAAACACTCATAGTAGAGAGAAACCGTATCAGTGTAAGCAATGTGGCAAAGCTTTCAGCTGTCCCATGTACTCTCGAGCTCACGAAAGAACACACAGTGGAGAAAAGCCCTACGAATGTAAGGAATGTGGTAAAGCCTTCGGTTTCCCAAGTAGTTTTCATAGACATGTGAAAACACATTCTAGAGATAAACTCTGTTAATGTGAAGAATGCTTTTATCTTACAATCATGCAATTATTATAATAATAATCCAGATAGGATTGTAATAATCCAGATTGGAGACGGACCCTAGCAAGGTAAGAGAAGTCCTGTCAATGTAAACATTGGGGGAAAGCCTTTGGTAATCCTAGTTCTTTACAAAATCATGAAAGAACTCATGCCTAAGAGAATTTCTATGAATATAAGGATATTGGGGGCGCCTTTCATGGACAGGTAAGAATGCATATGGAGAGAGCATATAAGAATAAAGAATGTGGAAATGCCTTCAGCTGTCCCATTTCCTTGGGAAGGCCATGAAAAAAACTCAAAGTGGAGAGAAATCTATTGAATGTAAATGGAGAAAAACCTTCATTTTGCCTTACATCCCTATGAGACCACAGGAGAATGTGCACCAGACAGCTACTATAATACATACACTGAGGACAAACTTAAATTTTAACAAATACTTTCACAGTAGCTTGAAAACTGCACTGGAAGGAAATCATATTCCTATAACTAGTATATGAAAGCCCAGTGCAAATTAATTCATATACTCCGAAATTCACAACAGGAAAGAAATGCTATAAATGTCAGATATCCATGGTCGTTATGACTGATTCATTCTTAAAGTGATACTCTGATATAGAGTTTCACTTAGTATACTAAGTAAATATTGACATAATATAATTCTGTAGGCACTCTTTAAGGAAGAGTTTCTATATTTAATAAGTTTTTTTTTTTCCTTTTAGTCAGTTAAAGTGTTTTTATATGAAAGTGTATTAGATCCATGGGTGAATGGAAGTGGTTTACTAATACGCAAGTAGGTTTAAATTTTATGTAATTGTGTAACTGTTCTGTAATGAAAGGAATATTGAAAAGTGAGACTTGGGTATTTGTTCATTTTGTCCTACTGGCCTCCTGTGGCAAGTATTGAATGAACATGCCTCACCCACATATATATTCTACCTTAACAGAAAAGTGCCTTTTCATTAGCCTGAAGCACCTTACTCGATTTTCTTGTCAATACATGTTTTTTTAATTTTTCAATTACACTTGACATTGAGTATTATTTTGGTCAATAAATATTTGCCATATATCTATCTATATGCAGTTTATTGTAGAGTAGAGTTTATGTGAATTTTTTGCATCTTGTTCCTTTGCTTTTTGTCATTGCTTTGGCTGGCTTTTTGAACTATGAATTTTACATTAAGAAGAAAATACCTGTTAGGACAATAAAATGTAAAGTTGGAGATGACAGTTCCTGACTGTTATATCAACGTGAGGAATGTTGTGAAGTACATTTTCCACAATCTGTTGCCTTTATGGTTCCATGTTACACATCACCAGAGCTGAATGTCCATGAAACTTGAATGCATGTGATAAATAGGTTTAGACTAGATTTGGAACCACTTGTGTGAAGAGACAGACAAAAGCATGGAGTTTTTGTGTACATTTACTTTTAGTAAAATTTGGGTGGGGCAGGGCCTCAGGGAATCACCAGATTGGGGTAAACAGTGTGAGCCAGGTTGTTGGAGTCCCAGATATGATGCCTGTCTGCCAGCCCCATGGGATAGGGCTCACCAAAGAACAGTGGCCCCCACCAGCATTCTGTCCAGGAGAAAGCTGCCCCTCCAGCTTTCTCCTTGATGCCAAACAATTCAGTTCCTCCTTGTATGTCTCTGATGTCTTTTGAGCTGCTGCCCCTGAACTGGATCTCAGAGGGAGTGAGTCTAAGTAAGTTTGTGTGTGGGCCCTTTAAGAGGAGCTGTCTGGGACTCCAGAAACCTCTGCCTCAATTCTCACTGGTTTTTACAGCCAAAAGTTATGGGGACTTCTCTTCCTGGCACTGGAACCCTGAGTTGGGGGGGGGGGGCGGGGGCGGGGACTCCTTGCTCCTCAGGGAGGACCTTCACAACCAAGGTATTCCTTCTGATTTTTATCTGCCACGCATGGTTGTGGGACTAACCAGTCCACAATCTTCATCCCTCCTACCAGTCTTGATGTGGCTTCTTTAATTCCATAGTTGTAGTGAAAGGGGCAGGAGAGAACAATGGAGGACTGATCATAGTAGGGTGCTAGCCATACTTATAAGAAACTATGAACATCTTGCTGTTAATCATGATTGCTTTGTTCTGATTAAAGAAAGCCCATTCTGACTTGGCTGGAAGCTGTATGCCCTGGGAGTTTACCCCGGGAATGCTGCCCATTCTCCTTACCAAAGAGCTGCCCACCTCATCATGGAAAGATTAACAACCTTGGAGTCTTGGAGTTGGTGCACTGGAGACAGTCCACATTCCCCAGCTCCCATTACTTCCCATGCCTGTAATCTGCAACTGTTTTACGCGTTGTTATTCCTTTTGCCTACTTCTGGATCTAATACCCAATATTAGCAACTGGCTATAGAGGGAGTGGAGAGCAGATTTTTGCAGGATTACCTGGCTATGCTCCTATACTGCTGGCATTATTGGAATAAAGGCTCATATATGATTCAACCTTATCTCTGTTTAATTGGCTCAAGTAGTAACAGGCAGTCTGGACCCATCTGTTGTTTGCTTTCAGTAGGACTGCTATTCAGCTCATTTTCAGGCAGTTCTGAATGATTATTATTCTGTAGTTTAGTTGTAATTTTGATGTGGTTGTGGGAGGAGGTGAGTACCACATATACCTATGCCACCATGTTGACCAGAAGTCCTCAGATTTGCGGTTCTTTTTACGCATTTGGAATCAAAGGAGACAATTGGGAAGAGTACATGACACCTGTTTCTGGTAGATTAACAAGGCAGGAGAAAGCAAGGCAAGGACATCTCTATAATTGGATAAAAAGTAAAATAAAGAGATACATACTTTTTTTACATCGTTGGATACAGGATAGTTTAACCTTTACAGTATGCCCTGGCCAGTTTTGCTCAGTGGTTAGAGCATCGGCCTGCGGTCCGGAGACACCCGGGTTCGGTTCCCGCTAAGGGCACGTACTTCGGTTGCAGTTTGTCCCCGGCCCTGGTTGGTCGTGCGGGTGGCAGCCACTCGATGTGTCCCTTCACGTCAATGTTTCTCTCTCTCTCTCCCTTCCTCTCTCTCCCTCCCACTCTATCTGTACAAAAAATGGAAAAATATCCTCAGGTGAGGATAAAAAAAAAAAAAAAAAAAAAATCGTAACCTTTACAGTAAACAAGAATGGTACACAATATGGCCAATAAGATGATATGCTCCCTTGAGGATGATTACATCTTAAAGGGATCTGGAAAAATATCACTCTAACATTTCAAAGGTATGCAAACCAAATACAGTGGAGAGAACCACTTGAAATCAAGCTCAACAGAAGTCTTACAACTACAAAATTAAAGAAGTCACATCAAGACTGGTAGGAGAGGCAGAGGTGCAGACAGGCTGGTCCCACAGCTATCTATGGTGGAGAAGGGATACCTCAGCTGGGAAAGTCTTTCCAGAGAAGCAAGGAGTCCCTGTCCTACACCAGGCCCCCAGCTCAGGTTCCGGTGTCAGGTAGAGAAGTCCCCATAACTTCTGGCTGGAAACACCAGTGGGAACTTAAGCTGAGGGAGAACTGAGGCTTCTGGAGTCCCAGGCAGTTCCTCTTAAAGGGCCCATGCATGGATTTATTTGGACTTGCTCCTTCTGGGCTCCAGCGTTGGGGAGGCAGCATGAAAGGCCCCAGAGACATATGGGGAAGAATTGAGTTGTTTGGCATTGGAGCAAGGGCTGTAGAGGCAGCTTTCTCCCAGACCAACCTGCTGTCAGAAGCCGTTGTTCCTTTGGTAAGCCCTTCCTCCATGGGATCGGCAGACAGACTCCATATCTGGGACTCCAGCAACCTAGCTAACATTTTTCCCCACCCTGGTGATTCCCCGAGGCTCTGCCCTGCCCAACTTTTGGGCCCACCCAAGCTGTTTCCAGTGGTTTTACCATAAGATTGGCCTATTCTAGCTCCTGCTTCAGATTTTCCTAAATTCTCTCAAACAAGCTGCGTCTGGCCTCAGTGAGCCCCATAACTCTAGCTAAGTGGTCCCAGGCCTGGAACTAGAAGCAGCTAGCTTTGGTTCACATCTTGGCTTTGCCTGGACACCACCAAGCCAAGCATAAGAAGCAGCCATCAGCAGATAGCTTTGAAGCTCATGCTGGTGGCCCCAGGTAGAACACAGGCAGTGGCTGACCTTGCCCTAGAGCCAGCACACCCAATGGACAGCTTCAGACCACCATGAAGCACCATGACCCAACCACTTCCACAAATGACACACTTAAGGAATGGACTTGGTGGGTACCAGAACCCTGCTGAAGTAAGTCTTGCTCTGTGTGGTGGGCCCCTACACAGTTGATCATCCAAGGTAGTCAGAGGTTGGTGGTCAGTGGGCACAACCAGTTCTTGCAATGGATCAACCTGAGTAAATCCCTCCCATTGATGTGCCAACAGCAATCAAGACTCAGTTACAACAGAATGGTGTAAAGTCCACATGAGGGATGTACCTTGAGGGCCCAGCTGGGGTGATCAGGGAGGCTGTGCCACTGGGCCCTATAGGACACCTACAATAACAGGCAACCCTAGGAAGCCTAGGAGACATAACAACTCTATATAATACATAGAAATAAACACAGGGAAGCAGCCAAAATGAGGAGACAAAGAAATATGTCCCAAATGAAAGAACAGAAGAAAACTCCAGGAGAAGAACTAAATGATATGGAGATAAGCAATCCAACAGATGCAGAGTTCAAAAGATTGCTTATAGGGATGCTCAATGAACTTAGTGAGAATTTCAAGGAACTTCATGAGAATGTCAAGGAATTTAATGAGGACCTCAATAGCATGATAAAGGGCCATTCAGAAATGAAGGATGCACTAACTGAAATAAAGAATATTTTACAGGGAATCAGTAGTAGAGTAGGTAAAGCCAAGAAGCAAACCATCAATTTTTAATAAAAGGGAGCAAAAAATACCTAATCAGAACAGCATAAGGAAAAAAGAATCCCAAAAAATGAGGATCATATAAGGA